CATCGCTGGATGTCTACAACGGAAAGGTATTAGCCGCAAAAGGAAACGTCATAGTAGTAAATATAAACTATCGAGTTGGATCTTTTGGTTTCCTATTTCTCGACGACGATGAAGTACCAGGGAATGTAGGACTCTTAGACCAGCGTCTGGCGCTACATTGGGTTCAAGAAAACATTGCAGCTTTCGGTGGCGACCCCAATAATGTTTGTCTTTTTGGCGAAAGTGCTGGCGCTGCTGCCATTTTTGCACATGTAGTTTCTGAAAAAAGTCGTGACCTATTCCACCGTGTTATCGTCCAGAGCTCTTCGATGGACACCCCATGGGCAGTAGTTGACCCAGTTACAGCAAAAGCGAGATCTGAAGAATTTGCTGCACAGTTGGACTGCAAACAATCGAATGTGGCCGAAATGGCTGCATGTTTAAGGGACAAAACTCCAGAGGACTTAAACAGTGCCTACTGGAATGTTGCTGTGAGGTTCATGGAATTTCCTTTGGTCATTGTCAGCAAAGACCATGGGGGATTCTTTACCACTGACGCAATTGACGCTTGGAAAAGAAAAGATTTTAAGCCAAATTTGCAAATCCTTATTGGCACAGATGCAGATGAAGGATCGTATTGGGCGATATACTACTTGCCAGATTACTACAAGTAAGCATCAGCTAACAATCCTTTTGAATACTTCTTTTCTAATGAGGGTAGTCGTCTATATTAATAGCAAGTGCCAGCGCTCATATTTAACTGTCATAGGCAGAATGTACCATAGATGCACCACCAAACATTATTATTCCAAATAAAAGGGGTTCTTGTAAGTCGTTTTGTTGGATCTTGGCATTTTCAGATGATCCCATAAGCACGTTCAATAACGAGCATAAACGTTGGCTCTCGGTCTTTCCTGAAAGTCATATCTACTGTTTATTCTGCATTTTTCGATTGAGGGTTCGTGTAGAAGCTTCACCATGAATCCGAGGAGGGATGGGGATGTTGCAACATGAAAACAGAAAATATAAGAGACAGGAATATATTTGACCAATTACTACACAGGTCCTGACAGATTTCCGTAGCCATTATAGGAAATCAAGAGTAAACTGAACTCTATTTTTCTGTGCTTCTACCGAGTTCCGTCCTTGCAATTTCATATAACAATCAGAGCCTGAGCATCGTAAAACTTAGCTTCCAAATGAACGCTATTACTTTTGAAGAATGACATGGTAGGCTGAGGTTATAAAATACGACTCAAATTTATGAATTACTGTTTATCCCGTAGCAACTGGCTCCGCGCTTTACATTCTTTATCCTTGATTGTTAGAAACT